CATTTCAGTTGCTAAAAAACGGGTCTTTTATAGATATCTCATAGATAACAGAAATTCTATAAAAATAAGACATTCTACAGACGTACTGATCTTAAGTAGTCAGAAGTCCTCATTGAGGTCCTCTATAATCAGAAAACTTTCTGGAGGACCTCTATAGACAGATGGTCTCTTATAGACAGACCCTCCACTGCAAGATATTTTTATATTTTCGTATGTAGGTAGTCAGAAGGCCTTTATAATAACAAAACTTTCTGGCAGATGGCTTCCTACAGGCCTTCTACTGCAAGTAACTTAGTAATGGTCTTGCGTAGTCAGAAAGTCTTCTGCAGGTCCTCAATAATAAGATAGCATTCTGGAGGTCTTTTATACGCAATTGATCTTCTATAAATCAGCTATTTCTCGGCTATAGGTAGAATACATCTGACTACGGAATACCGTTCAGAAGGTCTGCTACAGGCTGACAGAAAAAATAAATCCTATACATTATATTATATAGACACTAACCTTTTAAAGGATTTCTAGAAACCGATATTCCATAGTTAGAAGATCTACTAAAGACATTCTATACACGTCTTCTTTGGCAGGATACCTTCTACAAGTCTTTTATAGAGATAAACCTTACAAAGGGATAGAGTTCTGCAGGTCTACTATGGAAATATGCACTACTGTAAATCTTCTATACACTGATCTATCTCATGACATCCTCTATAGGTAGAATATATCGTACTGGTCTTCCGTAGCCAGAAGGCCTCCTACACGCTTTATTATCGGAAAACTTTCTCTATCTCTCTCTCTCTCTCTATAGACATATGACATATGCCAGGTAACGTCCCACGTGCCTTCTACTTGTCGTCTATAGGTTAAATACATCGTAATGATATTCCTTAGTCAGAAGGCCTGCAATAATGCATATGACCTTATACAGGTTCTATATAATCAGAAAACATGCTGGAAGTTTTCTATAAGACAGATAACCTCATAGACGACTTCACGCGGGTCTTCTATAGACAGAATACCTTCTACACCTCACAAGTAGTCTAGAAACGGATTTTACATAGACATACGTCTTTCTTTAGCCAGAAGATGTCCTGCATGTCTTTTTAGGCAGCATATATTCTAAATGAATTGGTGAGAAAACCCACTATTGGCTTTCAATAAAGAGGAAGCTCTTACATATTGGTATTCCGTAAGCAGAAGGTATCCCACATGTCCTCTATATTCAGAAAATCTTCAGGGGGATCTCTATCGGCAGATGACCACCTACATGTCTTCTACTGTCTGATTACATCCACTAATTCTTTCGTAGACCTGCAATAGGTCATACATAGACATTATATTTTTCACGGGTCGTCTACAAATCGATTTTTAATAAGCAGAAGACCTTATAGAGGATGTCCATAGCCAGAAGATGTCATATAGGGCTTCTTGAGGACTCTGTAGGCAGATGAACATCACCGGCATTCGACTGTCAGATTACTTCCAATAGTTTTTCTTTAGAATACCTCCTATAGGTCGATTTTTGATAAGCAGAAGACCTTATAGAGGACGTCTATAGCCAGAAGATGTCAAACAGGGCGTCTTGAGGACTCTGTAGGCAGATCAACATCACAGGCATTCGACTGTCAGATTACTTCCAATACTTCTTACTTAGAATACCTCCTATAGGTCATAAATATACATTAGATTTTTCAGATTCCGTCTAAAAAGACCTTCTATAGCCAGAAATCGTCCTACAGGGCTTCTTTAGACAAAATAATTTCTACAAAACACCCCTACTATAGGCTTTCTACCTTCTCACAACCCTCTTCTAGATTTTTTTACAGCTCTGAAATGGGCCCTTGAGCTTCCACAAGTATGTGGAAGACCTTCCAGACTATCACATTTTGAAATAGTTTAATAGATTATTTGTTCCGAAGAGACATTCTACAAATCTTATAAAGACAGAAGATCCTCTAGAAGTCTTCTATAGACGGAAAGTATTCTAAACTTCTTTTACAGACCAAATACCTTCTGTATACCAGCTATATACATAAGGCATATATTAGGCTTTCAATTGGCAGACGACTTCCTTAAGGTTCTGTATAAATATTAGATTTTTCACAGGTCTTTTATAGACAAAGGTAGGTGGTCCTTTCTTTGTCTATAAAAGAAGTCTGAAGTCCTTTTTATAGAGAATACGTTTTGTAGGTCTTCTATGGACAGAACAACTTCCACAAGTAGTCTACATGAAGAATTTCCCACACATACGTCATACATCGTCCTACAGGGCTTCTTTAGACAAAATAATTTCTACAAAAAAAAACCCCTACTATAGGCTTTCTACCTTCTCACAACCCTCTTCTAGACAAATTTTTTTACAGATCTGAAATGGGCCCTTGAGCTTCCACAGGTATATGGAAGGCCTTCCAGACTTTCACATTTTGAAAAAGTTTAATAGATTATTTGTGCCGAAGAGACATTCTGCAAATCTTATAAAGACAGAAGATCCTCTAGAAGTCTTCTATAGACGGAAAGTATTTTCAACTTCTTTTATAGACCAAATACCTTTGTAGGCCATCTATATACATAAGGCCTCTGTTAAGCTTTCAATTGGCAGACGACTTCCTAAAGGTTATGTATAAACATTAGATTTTTTACAGGTCTTTTATAGACAAAGGACCACCTAATCTGAAGTCCTTTTTATAGAGAATACGTTATGTAGATCTTCTATGGACAAAAGAACTTCCGCAAGTAGTCTACAGGCAGAATTTCCCACACATACATCATACATTGTATAGAGGGAAGACTTTCTGTAAGTCTCCTATAGTAAGAAACCTTACAAAAGGTCATACGAGTATATACAGAATATCTCCTATATTCATAGTCTCGACAGAATACCATTTACCGATCTCTTAAATACAAATGTCAGGATTGTTATACTTTTATTATAGCTCTTTCTTCCCATCGACAGAATACCTACTTCGTATAAAGAATACAGGGTTGCCCATATTCGACGGACCCATCTGGCAAACCCATAACTTCTGACAGAGATGTCACATCGCTTAATGACATACCGCGTTTGAAGCGTCAGTCCAAGCAGATTTTTACCATGAACCAATACACGCCACGCGAGCGCTCTGAAATAGTTGAATTTTACATTCAACAGAAGAAGTCAATTGTGGAAACTCAACGTGCTTTTAAAACATTAAAAAATGTGAGAAGTGCGCCTTCTAAGAACACCATTAAGCGTTTATGCCAAAATTTTCGACTGGTAAAGCTCTTTCTAATCCGAAGAGGCATGGCTCGGTCCACTTTACAATGGATTATTCGCATTGATTTGCATTTGTTTCCGTACAAAATTCAATTGACGCAAAGAATGTTGCCTGCGGACAAGCCTCGTCGATTGGAATGGGCCCAAAGAGTCATCGAAATGGCCGAAGATGACGAGCAATTTTGGAACAAAATTATCATGTCCGATGAAGCCCATTTCACATTGAATGGGACCGTAAATAAGCAAAATTGCCGTTTTTACGCTATTGAAAATCCTCAGGAGATTCAAGAAGTGCCTCTTCATGACGAAAAAGTCACAGTTTGGTGCGGCGTCAGAGCGAAAACGGTCATTGGGCCGTTTTTCTTCCAAAATGAAAATGGCCATGCTGTTACCATCAATCAGGAGCGTTATCGCGACATGATGACCAATTTTGTGAAGCCAAGGACCGAAGAAGAGCTCAAGGACAAGATTCGTGAAGAAATATCCGCTATTCCGGCCGAAATGTTGGCAAAAACGATGGAAAATGCAGCAAAAAGGGCACAATATGTCATCAACGCTAGAGGCGGCCATTTGAGAGATATCATATTCCGAATATGGGCAACCATGTACCTTCTTCGGGTCTGTTATTTGCAAATGAACTTTTTCAGGCCTATATAAGGCCTTACAGACTTCTATGGCAGCCCTTTGGTAAGTCTTAATATTTGGCGCGTCCTCGAGAGAAATAATTTAGCCCCTCGTATTGGACAACCCTATTTCTTTTTTCCAACGATCAAAGACCAAACATATAAACTACCAATAGCAACAACAACAAAAAAACTCTCACACACTTTGCAAAAAAAGTGTCATAGATTAATTTGGGCAAAACTGCCTTTAAAATGATTGATCAAATTAATGAATGGATGAATGACTGTGCAACGATGGATGGATGGACGACGGATGGATAGATGGTTGATTCGTTTGCCCCGCTGTTTGTTTGGCTTAGTTAGATGATGGCCAATAGATAGATGTTGTTGTTGCTGTTGTACAGCTACTACTGCTGCTGCTGCTGATATATTGGCTAATATGGTAAATAGCCATTTATACACTAAATTAACAATTTGTGATTTGATGGTGTATAGATGTGTGAGTATGTATGTACGTGTGTGTGAAAGAGTTTGCTTTTTTCTGATTTTTAACCCCAGAAAAAACATAAACTGTGAGAATTTTTCCACTTTTTCGAAAATTTTTATTTATTTTTGTTGTTGTTGTTTTTTTCTGTGATTGTATTTGTCACTCTGCATCTATCATTGAGCTTGCATTCATCACGCACACAGACACACACACAGATGCTGCATTAAATGAATAACGAGTGGAATGAATGGCCAACATGGCTATTAGACATTCAGTCGTCTATCTGTCATTCGTTCATTCAATCGGTTCGTAATTTTATTATTGATGGGAAATCGTGTCATTATATAACATTTGGCGACATATTCTATTAAAGGCTAATGACACAAAACAAATGCTAAGAGTGGTCGAAACAAAAAATTGGCGAACTCAAATCGCTGCTGATGATTGATTTGTGATCAAAGTGATATGGGGTGACGATATCACAATTGTTGCTCCATATGGTCGGAATGCCATAGTGGGTTAAGAATTTATTTTTGGTGAGAATAAAAAATCTTGTAAATGATACCAAGAGATTGTTTCTTGTTACTAATTTTGGTCAGGCGAATGATTAATATCTTAATTAATAAAATAAAATAAAAAAAAAAAAACTCAAAATTTCCCACTCACCTGTTTCAATGTAAGGCGGGCTGTATATCTTAAATCGCTACCCTCACGCTTAAACATGGCATGTGGCTTATCACGTATAATGAACACAATATCCGAAGGTATTTTACCCGGCGACTGATCACCCTCCTTTTGGAAAGTGACCTTCGTACCCGATTTCCATCCGGGTTTTATCGATATGCTAACATATTTATCCTCCTTTTTCGATGATCCATCGGGCTGTTGGACACGTCTTGAGATTTTCATTTTCTTTACACAGCCATGATAGATTTCCTCCAACGTAACATAGAGATCGTGTTCGACGGGTGGATCTTGTTGTTTCTCTTTTTTGAATGGTGTATGCACGTTGAATGAATGTGATCTGAAAGAGGGTCTTCACTGGATTATTTAAAGCAAACCACACAAGGAGTTGAGGGGTTTGGAAAGATTTGACATTCAATTGAAACAAAACGGTTCACTTACCTAAAAGCACCACCAAGCCCATGACGAGAACCCAAACCACCAAAGGGTGATGAGAAGAAATCATGTTCTCTATCCAAATCGAAAACGTTCTTATCGAACAGGTTGTCACCCATGTCGAAGAACGAGGCGAAGGGATTACTGGAACCGAAGAATTGTGCAAAGGTGGCCCGTGGATCACCATGGAACTGATATGTAAATGTATTATTCGAACTTGTGCCATTGCTTCTGCCTGTTAAGGGGGGGAAAAGAGGAAAAATGAAAAACCATAAAAAAGTCATGCCAAACAACGTTAAAGCACAAGATTTCAAAAAATATTTTTGGAGAAAAACCTAAAAAAATATTTTTTAAAGGACCAACGTAGACCTGGATTTTTTTAAAGACCAAAATAGGCGTGGATATTTTAAAGAGTATTTTTTTTTTTCAACGACCAAAATAGGCGCGGATTTTTTAAAGAATATTTTTTCAAGGGCCCATACAGGCGTGGATTTTTTAAAGAATATTTTTTCAAGGGCCCATACAGGCGTGGATTTTTTAAAGAATATTTTTTCAAGGGCCCATACAGGCGTGGATTTTTTAAAGAATATTTTTTCAAGGGCCCATACAGGCGTGGATTTTTTAAAGAATATTTTTTTAAGGGCCCGTACAGGCGTGGATTTTTTAAAGAATATTTTTTCAAGGGCCCATACAGGCGTGGATTTTTTTTAAGAATATTTTTTCAAGGGCCCATACAGGCGTGGATTTTTTAAAAAATATTTTTTCAAGGGCCCATACAGGCGTGGATTTTTTAAAGAATATTTTTTCAAGGGCCCATACAGGCGTGGATTTTTTAAAGAATATTTTTTCAAATCCCATACAGGCGTGGATTTTTTAAAGAATATTTTTTCAAGGGCCCATACAGGCGTGGATTTTTTAAAGAATATTTTTTCAAAAGCCCATACAGGCGTGGATTTTTTAAAGAATATTTTTTCAAGGGCCCATACAGGCGTGGATTTTTTTTAAGAATATTTTTTCAAGGGCCCGTACAGGCGTGGATTTTTTAAAGAATATTTTTTCAAGGGCCCATACAGGCGTGGATTTTTTAAAGAATATTTTTTTCAAGGGCCCATACAGGCGTGGATTTTTTAAAGAATATTTTTTTCAAGGGCCCATACAGGCGTGGATTTTTTAAAGAATATTTTTTCAAGGGCCCATACAGGCGTGGATTTTTTAAAGAATATTTTTTCAAGGGCCCATACAGGCGTGGATTTTTTAAAGAATATTTTTTCAAGGGCCCATACAGGCGTGGATTTTTTAAAGAATATTTTTTCAAGGGCCCATACAGGCGTGGATTTTTTAAAGAATATTTTTTCAAGGGCCCATACAGGCGTGGATTTTTTAAAGAATATTTTTTCAAGGGCCCATACAGGCGTGGATTTTTTAAAGAATATTTTTTCAAGGGCCCATACAGGCGTGGATTTTTTAAAGAATATTTTTTCAAGGGCCCATACAGGCGTGGATTTTTTAAAGAATATTTTTTCAAGGGCCCATACAGGCGTGGATTTTTTAAAGAATATTTTTTCAAGGGCCCATACAGGCGTGGATTTTTTAAAGAATATTTTTTCAAGGGCCCATACAGGCGTGGATTTTTTAAAGAATATTTTTTCAAGGGCCCATACAGGCGTGGATTTTTTAAAGAATATTTTTTCAAGGGCCCATACAGGCGTGGATTTTTTAAAGAATATTTTTTCAAGGGCCCATACAGGCGTGGATTTTTTTTAAGAATTTTTTTCAAGGGCCCATACAGGCGTGGATTTTTTAAAGAATATTTTTTCAAGGGCCCATACAGGCGTGGATTTTTTAAAGAATATTTTTTCAAGGGCCCATACAGGCGTGGATTTTTTAAAGAATATTTTTTCAAATCCCATACAGGCGTGGATTTTTTAAAGAATATTTTTTCAAGGGCCCATACAGGCGTGGATTTTTTAAAGAATATTTTTTCAAAAGCCCATACAGGCGTGGATTTTTTAAAGAATATTTTTTCAAGGGCCCATACAGGCGTGGATTTTTTTTAAGAATATTTTTTCAAGGGCCCGTACAGGCGTGGATTTTTTAAAGAATATTTTTTCAAGGGCCCATACAGGCGTGGATTTTTTAAAGAATATTTTTTTCAAGGGCCCATACAGGCGTGGATTTTTTAAAGAATATTTTTTTCAAGGGCCCATACAGGCGTGGATTTTTTAAAGAATATTTTTTCAAGGGCCCATACAGGCGTGGATTTTTTAAAGAATATTTTTTCAAGGGCCCATACAGGCGTGGATTTTTTAAAGAATATTTTTTCAAGGGCCCATACAGGCGTGGATTTTTTAAAGAATATTTTTTTAAAGGGCCCATACAGGCGTGGATTTTTTAAAGAATATTTTTTCAAGGGCCCATACAGGCGTGGATTTTTTTTAAGAATATTTTTTCAAGGGCCCGTACAGGCGTGGATTTTTTTTAAGAATATTTTTTCAAGGGCCCGTACAGGCGTGGATTTTTTTTAAGAATATTTTTTCAAGGGCCCGTACAGGCGTGGATTTTTTAAAGAATATTTTTTTCAAGGGCCCATACAGGCGTGGATTTTTTAAAGAATATTTTTTCAAGGACCAACAAAGGCGTGGATTTTTTAAAGAATATTTTTTCAAGAACCAACAAAGGCGTGGATTTTTTAAAGAATATTTTTTCAAGGACCAACAAAGGCGTTGATTTTTTAAAGAATATTTTTTCAAGGGCCCATACAAACGTTGATTTTTTAAAGAATATTTTTTTCAAGGGCCCATACAGGCGTTGATTTTTTAAAGAATATTTTTTCAAGGACCAACAAAGGCGTTGATTTTTTAAAGAATATTTTTTCAAGGGCCCATACAAACGTTGATTTTTTAAAGAATATTTTTTTCAAGGGCCCATACAGGCGTTGATTTTTTAAAGAATATTTTTTTCAAGGGCCCATACAGACGTGGATTTTTTTTTTGAAATGCGGAGATTTTTTAAAAATTTGTTTTAATGACCAACAACTTACCACCAGATTTGAGCCCATCTTCACCATATTTATCGTAAACTTCACGTTTACTTTTATCCGATAGGACTTCATAGGCTTCGGCGACCTCTTTGAACTTTTCTTCTGCATTTGCTGCTTTATTTTTGTCCGGATGATAGCGTAACGCTAATTTCCTGTAGGCTTTTTTGATTTCTTCGTCGGTGGCAGTTTTGGGTATGCCCAATATTTTGTAATAATCTTTGCCCATTTTGTGTTTGTGTATGTGTGTGTGTCTGTTGCTGTGTAGGTTTTTTGGTGGGGAAACTTAATATGAATTTTTAAATGATGAATTCCAAATGGGTCTTTGCTGGATCTATTAATGAAATGTGAGTAATAAGTTTTCAAATTCCACAAATAATACTAAAAATTGTAACAAATAATTTGTTGTTGTTGGCTGTAAAGAAAAAACAAAAAATGTGGGGTGGAGAATTAGTCATTTGGGGGTGTTAACGAGGTTTCAAATTACTTACCACTTGTGGTGTGATTTTAATCCAAAAATGTCTTCTTCTTAAACTTTTGCAATTTGTTGTTGCTGTTTTGAATTTGTTGAATATTGAGATACAGTTTTCATCTTACGGCAAACATTGGACGGAACCGGAAATTGTCACGCTGCTGATATTAGTAGAGAAACGGTGATAAACAAAACTGCAATAGAGAAAAATTCGCAAAAAAATACGAAAAATATTAAAATTTAATTATCTAAAAAAAACACGATACAAAAATATTGACAAATATATTTTGAAATAAAAAAAAGAAATAAATTTTAAGAATTCAATGTTGGAAACACTCAAAGAAAAAAAATAGGAGTTTCTTATCAGATATAGTGAAACCTCCATATAATGCGAACTATAATTTCTGATTTTTTTTTTTTTGCTCCACTGTATTATTTTTAAAATTTCCCCTGAAGCGTGGGATATGAGCAAAATACGTCACAGCCGAATTACTCTCCAAATGATGCATAGGAGGAAATGTTAATTATAATATTCACATGCCAAATACTCGCATATCGTCTAGGCAAATTTCTATTGTCACAGCCGAAAGAGAAGAAGGCCATGGTATTCTTGTGCCTCGCCGGTGTCAGCGTCAGTATTGTTATTTGCCGATTAAGGACAACCCACGCAAAATGTTTTTGAATATTGTTTTGCTGTGGTTTTTTTTTTAATTTTCTTCTTCTATTAAACAACATTGAACAAATTGTTTTGAAATTAATTTTGAGATTTTTGTTTCGCTGACGCAGTGAATATTTTTATAATATTGAAAACAAATTTCAAATATTAAGGAATTTTTCAACAACATTTTTGAAGACATTTTAAAAAATAAATATTATTTCAAGTTCCATCATAGGCGTGGATTTTTTTTAAATACTATATATTTAAGAATTAACATAGACGTGGAACAAAGTACAGGCCACAATTATTATCCGATTTGGATGAAATTTGGCACAGCTCATATATTTGGCCCAAGGACACACCCTATTGAAATTGAAGAAAATCGGGTCAGATTTAGATATAGCTCCCATATATATTTTCGTCCGATTTTAGGTAAATGGCGTACCAAACTCCCAACATTGGTCCGATTGTGACAAAATTTTGAAGAGAGTATTGAATTAGGTCTAGATTTATATATGCCAAGTTTGGTTGAAATCGGTTCAGAATTAGATATAGCTCACATATATAGATTAGTCCGATTTTATGTAAATGGTGAACTAAACTCCCAATATTGGTCCGATTGAGACAACATTTCGCACAGAGTACTGACATAGGTCCAGGTTGGTGTATGCCAAGTTTGGTTGAAATCGGTTCAGATTTAGATATAACTCCCATATATAGTTTCATCCGATCTAGGTAAATGATGCACCAAACTCCTACTATTGCTCCGATTGTGACAAAAGTTTGCAGAGAGTACTGAATTAGGTCTATATTTATATATGCCAAGTTTGGTTGAAATCGGTTCCGATTTTATGTAAATGGTGAACCAAACTCCCAATATTGGTCCGATTGAGACAACATTTAGCACAGAGTACTGAATTAGGTCTAGATTAATATATGCCAAGTTTTGTTAAAATCGGTTCAGATTTAGATATAGCTCCCATATATACTTGCGTCCGATTTAAGGTAAATAGTGTACCTACATATTCTTCGATTTGCACGAAATTTGGCATAGCGTACTGAATGAAGTCTAGAACGATGTGTGTTAATTTTAGTGAAAATCGGTTCAGATTTAGATATAGCTCCCATATATATATTCGTCCGATTTTATGTAAATGGTGCACCAAAGTACCTATATATCATTCGATTTCAACAAAATTTGGCATAGCGTACTGAATTGAGTCTAGAAAGGCGTGTGTAAAATTTCGAGAAAATCGATTGAGATTTAGATGTAGCTCCCATATATATTTTCGTCCGATTTCAATGTAAATGGTGCACCAAAAATCCCTATATATTCGAATTGTACGAAATTTGGCATAGCGTACTGAATGAAGTCTAGAACGATGTGTGTTAAGTTTCCTGAAAATCGGTTCAGATTTAGATATAGCTCCCATATATATTCTCGAAAAATTTTATGTAAATGGTGCACCATATGTATTTTCGTCTGATTTTACATAAATTTCCGATTAACATGAAATTTTGCACATCGTATAAAATCAAGACTTGAAGACTTTTGTTGAAATTGGTGCTAATGCAGCCATAGATTCCATATGGATTTCGAACGGGTATCTGATTGAAATTAAATTTTCAACAGATCGTCGTACCGAATAGTGTGTATCAATTTTCCTATAAATCGTTTTCCATAAATTTGTCTCATGGTACGCGGACGACTCTAAATAAAATTTACCATAGGTTGTAGAATGACATGAGTATGTTCCTTCGAGGGAACATTAACATGAAGGGTATCATATAGTCGGCCCAGTTCGACTTTACTACTATTAAAATAGTTATATGATTTGTACCGTGTTTGGGTTTGGTTCTAAGACTCTGTTGTAATCATTTCATCTGCGTAAGTTACGAAAAAACTAGAACATAAGTTTCGATGATTCACCCCATATATATATATATATATATATATAACCCGAATTTAGGCCTATCCCCTGTGTGTGAGGTTTCTGAAGGAGTGGACCGATATTCCCCATGTTCGAACTTGAACTAATTTTGGAAGAAATAATAAGATGGGCAAAGTTTGGATGAATTTAAAACTTTTTGAAAAAAATTTGGTCCATAGAAATGTCGGTATAGGTACACTTTTTGGTATGTTCCCTATATTTTTATTTCAAGTACCTGTCGTATATCTATGGTGGAGGGTATCCAAAGTTCGGCCCGGCCGAACTTAACGGTTTCTTCACTTGTTTAAAATAATATTTTTTTTCCAAGAGCCGACATAGGCGTGGATTTTTTAAAAACATATTTTTTTCAAGAGCCAACATAGGCGTGGATGTTTTGAAATCTATTTTTTTCAAGAGCCAACATAGGCGTGGATGTTTTGAAATCTATTTTTTTCAAGGGCCAACATAGGCGTGGATTTTTATACCCTACACAACTATGTTGTCAGGGTATTATAGCTTTGTGCAGTCCCAAGAGTTTGTAACGCCGCGAAATATTGGTCCTAGACCCACCTTTAAGTATACCGATCGTCATATCTCGACTAGCTGAGTCGATTTAGACATGTGTGTCCGTCCGTCTGTCCATTATAATTTGTAAACACGATACAGGCCTAGACCCACCTTTAAGTATACCGATCGTCATATCTCGACTAGCTGAGTCGATTTAGACATGTGTGTCCGTCCGTCTGTCCATTATAATTTGTAAACACGATACAGGCCACAGTTATGGACCAATCTTCACGAAATTTTGCATTTAGAATGGGTTCTGGCCAATGAAGACCCCTATTGTTTTTGGTAAAGATCGGTTTATATTTAGGGGATGAAATGGACCAAAAACTTTATATTTGTCGGATTTTCTGGTCGCTCCAGAGACCGCAATTATGGCCCAAACACCGCGAATTTTTGTATGGAGAAGAAGATCGGTCCAAAGAATAAGCATGCCTGTTTTGGTAAAGATCGATCAGTATTTAGAGGGTCAAATTGACCCTGACTTTTGTGTGAACAATGGCAAAATTTGTATTCTATGGCGTATATATTTGCCCCTGAAGGACCTAGACCCGAGAGGTTGATAGTATATTCAAAAGGAGTGTTTGACCTTTAAATTGATACCAATTATATGGTCGTATGTCATCAGATGTGGGAGTTACACTTAAATATTTACAGGTGCTTACGTATTCAGACATTATTTAGTAACCCATTACCAAACTAGAGGGCGGATATATAGCGCTGATCGCTTTGAAATTTTCCATGAGATTCCAATTATGGTCAAGGACAGATAATAATGTTGGGATGAAGTGGACCGGTCGATGAGCAGATAATAATGTTGGGATGAAGTGGACCGAAAACTACCTTTTTTTGAGTCGATCTATAGTCCACAATTGAAAGCCCAACATTACAACATAGCCTACGGTAAAGAGAATCTGGACAAGTACAGCCCTCGTCTACTGAATATTAGTAATATTTGTTGACCTTTAGTCGGGTGTCAAGAGGGTGCAAATAACGCAAAGTTAGATTTTCGTGGAAGTTGTATAGGGTATCATATGGTCGGCCCCGTCCGACTATACTACTCCGCTCACTGGTTTGAAATCTATTTTTTCCAAGAGCTAACATAGGCTTGGATTTTTTTAAAAAATATTTTCCAGGGCCAATTTCCAATTTTTCATCCTCAGATTTTCAATTCAACGATTTTCGTCGTCATGCCATTGTTTGGAGGTGCCTCAATCAGAGTAAAAAATGTGCTTCAACAAACATCAGTTGATAACTATTCGCATTTTCATTATTAAACCAAAAATATATGTAGTAATCCTTGTTGCATATGTTTCGCACGCCATTCCAAGCAATTTTTTTAGTTTATATTTTCAAGGACCTTCACAAGCCTCTATTTGTTAAGTAATGTTTATTAAGAAACACTTTTAACATTATAACAGCTTAAATTAGTATTAATAACCCTCCCCTGCTTCCTAACGAATTATAACCACCAATTGCCAATTGTTATTACATTTCCGATTGATTTTAACTTCTTATATTTTTTATGATATCGAAGACAACTTGCGTTTTTATTACCAATATTTTGATTTCAAGCTGTTACAACAACAACAATAGTTGTTATTCCCTTTTTATTCATTGTTTACATCCGTATGTCTCACAATCCTTTCCG